ACTTCAAGTGTACATATTACTGTTTCTCTCGTCATCAAATACTGAGGGATCAGGACGAATTGGTGGCGATCAAGACCCCTCAGGGATTGTTCAATACCAACCAGTATAGTCTATCCGGATTTGCTCCATATTTTACCTGTGCTGCCTGTCTACTCATCTTCGTTTATGGGCTACTTCCGTTCTGTTGGCATATGCGGCGCAAGAGGACACAACGCGAACTCGAAGCATCCATTCAGTCGCATAAAGGAAGGCTGACTAGCCTGGGCACAAGGAGGGACAAGAAAAGCGTACAACGGCGAGCGTATTCAACAGGAAGGATCCGGGAGGCGGAACACGAGCTCAAAACTGGAAAGGTCCCGACACCCGATACTGGTGTTCTTTTTGTCGCTTTGTGGCGATCTTATTGACAAGCGAAATCGGGATTTTACGCAAGCTTCCCGAAGCGGATCATGAATATGCCGTCGGCCAGTGGTCGTCTTGGATCGGCGTAGCGTTCGGAGCTCTTGCTGCCATCATCAACCGTGCATATGAGCCGGTATGGAATGAGCGCCAGACTATTATTGATGAAGAGAGAAAGGCATTTTTGCTGCGCCAAATGGAACCAGGGCATACTTGTGTGTCCACTGGCGTTTGATAGATGCACATTCAGGTTCGGTTGGGACATTGTTGGGACACACAGCCAACATCTAGGGTTGACTGACTATGTGGAATCACGTACACTATCCGCTTGTCTGGTTCGTGAATTCATGCCCATTTTAAGGAGATATAATGGTTCTGAAGGCGAGTTGGGTGTGACCCTTTCTGTGGTGAAATCTGAGTTCAACTCTTCGCAGCTAGGCAACTTGTCATCTCGACCACATCCCAACTCCTCGTTGGTCAAGAAAATCAAATCTGGTGCAAATTTTAACGATTTATAATCGATTAGACTCACGCATGCTTATATAAGGGTGATCGCGTGTAAACCATGGTACCGCACAAACACCTCAGTTCTCAACAGCGGCGAGACATACCATTAACCGATCCAACAAGCCCCCAAGAACTCATCATATGCGTATACCCTATGAGTGGGCAGTATGGTCGTCTCACTCGCACAATGTTTTATCTTCTACTCGTTTCGGCGCCGTTGGCCCAGCGCCATTTCTGGTTGATAGCAGGTTTGCTCGCATATGTTATGACATATACGGCCACGGTTGCGTTTCATGCTGTCGTGCTCGCCTTTGCACCCAAACGAAACGTAGATCTCGATGCCTTCGCAGCGCTCACTGTCCTTTCCTGCGCCATCCTTGGAAGTACCCCGACAGCGTGGTGGTCATCCACACTCGGCAGCACCGAATTC